ATTTTCTCCCAGGACCCTGAATACATTGTTCAATTGTCTTCAGTCCTCACGACTGCCATCTGCAGCTTCATCACCATGTGTCCACCTGCGGATTGATTTTACTTTGTCCTGCTCACAATTTTTGCTCCCTTAATCTGAGAGTTTCTGGCAAGTCTGGGAAATTAATAGCTGTTACATCTTCATATAATGTTTATTCCCTCTTTTTCTCTATTCTCTGCCTCTGGAAATATTATAAGCTGCATGTTAGACCTTCTCTTCTAAATCTTTCCAAATCACTTCAGTTTTTTCATCTCTTTATCTCTTAGGGCTGCAGTCCAGGCAAGGTCCTCAGATCTGGCTTCCAGCACATTAGCTCTCTGCTTAGAGGGTCTAATCTATGTAATATATCTTTTGAATTTTTAACTTCAACTACTATATATTTTCCATTATAAGAGTTCTATTGCTAGGTTAACAGGAGAAATAAAATTTTAAACAAAGCCGAGAGAAAGAGAAATTTCTTATTATTTCCCTCTATTGGTAGGCAGATTATTTTTTTTTTTTGTCCAGTCTATCCTTTTTGGGCTAGTCTTGAATATCCTAGTTTGATACAGGAGACTTTCTTTCAAAACTCCATATCTAATGGGCCCAAGGCCTCACCTCCTGAATGGCCATTAAAATCCAAAGTTTTAGCTACCCAAGATTGATCATCTCCCCAGTTAACTCACTGCCCTGTCTGGTTTTCAATTTCTTCTTCATTTCTGGTAATCAAGGAGATCCTTTTCCCTCTTGAGTGTTTATCTGTGCATTTAAAAGCCACTGGCTCATATCTCATCTAGAATTTCCAGGTATTTATAGAACCTAACCTGAAAACAAAATATGCCTTTGGCTCCGGCTTCTGGCAGGATAGTAGACTAAGACAATCGGAATATTTAACTTAGTTTATCATCCTGCAAAAACTGAAAGACAAAAGGCATATTTGGGGGGGCATATACCTTCTCAAAGATCCTCGCTTATGCATTGTTAACCAACATGATCAACAAAGAAGGCAATGTTTTCTATTTGAAAGATTTCCAGGATAAATGTCAAAAGACAAGTAGGTTCCAAATGTCTCTACCAAGGAACTATTCCAAAATCTTCAGGCAAAACAAGCTTAAGTCTCAAATCCGTAATTTAATTAAATATGATTCTTACGGTAACTCAAAAGGGGGAGGGAGTTGTTATTACCCCATTTCACAGGAGAAGACTGAAGCTCAGATTTGTCAGTCAACTCATTGTTTCTGATTAACTCCACCTTGCAATCCAGGAAAACTAATGTTAAGATGTGGAATTATTTAAACAAAATCTAAACGATAGTATCTGGAAGTAGTCTTGTAGATGTTTGGGGTAATATTACTTGGGGCTTACCAATATATCTGCTGCCTCCTTTGGAGACTTCTCAAACCCTTTTCACCTTAACCTTCAAATATTTACCTCCTGGCATAGCTGGATGCCTAAAGGAAGTCAGATTTGATACCTCGTAACATTGTATCCTCATTCCAAGATCCATTAACGAGGTAAACTTACATGTGGGTAATGCAGACCTTTCCTCAGCATTCTGGGTCCTTCTGTAATTAGGATTTGCCCTTCCTTTTGGGCCATGTTTTCTCAGTTCGTCCTTTCTGCATGAGAAGAGATGACCATCTCCCCCCTCCGTTAGCACTTGTAAGATGCCCTGCACTCTCAAAAGACCTCATGAAGCCAATTTCTCCTGTTCCTGGAGTTACAGTAGAGATGACCCTGTCTTAGACTTGCATTTTAAAAGTAGTGACGTAAATATCTTAAATGTCCCAATATTAATTGCATACCCAACGCACATTTATGTGTTTGTGTATGTGTATTCCTATTATTAAAATATTGCCTTTCTGGAAAACTTGCTGTTTTAACTGTCAGTCTCCCACAGACGGCCAGCAGAGTGACTGGCAGGCTGAATTGTGTGGTTAGTGAAAAATCTGCTGTTATTGGGTAGAACCCAGTGGAATGAACAGGACTTTGAGCAATAGCATTTTTATTCTGAAATCAAACAGCCTCAGATGACTTCTCTTTCCTGTCAAGTTCTGGAGGTTTTGGTGCTTTTCTTGTTTCTGTTTTTGTCCTGAAATTTGTACTTTTCCTATATACGCTGAATGTGAAATAGCCTAGTGCCTTTCTGTGGGGATCCAGGATTTTGTTAGGTGATACCAAGGGATGCATGTAATTCTGTGACATTTTGTCAGGCTGTTAAAGAGTAAATTTTCTTTGGCTGTGGCAGGAGGTAATTATTTTTGTCTGTTTGCTCCTGACACAGGGGAAGAAAATTTGGGGTTGTTATTTCAACTATTCCAAGACACTTCTTATTCTTTTTGGCAGGAAGGGAAAAATGCATTTTACTATTGAAAGAAGGGCCGGCCTCTGCTTTCCCCTACAGACTGGATGCACTTTTTTTAATGCTGAATATTTTTGCAACAACAGTCACGTAGTGGTTCTGCCCCTCTCCCTGAAGCTGTCCTTAATACACTTCTTCAGCCCTCCTGGCATTTGATCTGCAGCACTGTTAGGATCCTCTGACAGCATGCATGGAATATTCTCAAAGCAAACACAGCAATATATGTATGTGACTTCTGCCCTAGAGTTCACACTCTGATAGCCAGAGCCAGAGATGGGCCTCTAAATCCATAATAACAATAATAAGAACACTTTCTATTGCCTTTTAACATCAAACAATTAATTATGCAGACGGTTCTAAAAAGCAAGCTCCTGAAATGATGTATTCTGTAGCCTAACTCCATGCGTTAAAATTTCAGGTCCTTAATTAAAACGTACCAAAAGAATGCAACAGCCCACTAGGTATTGATTGAATTCTTTTTAAAAATAACTAAAATTTTAGGTCTCACCACGTTTCTGAAATTTCTCTGAGGTGAAGGGTGAGAACCAAGACCTCAGCTCAGGGACTGAATTATGTCTGCTGCCTTCCTAGAATGCGTCCTCAAAGGATGATTCCATGGAGGCAGTGGGTTCCCCCAGGGAAAAATGTCCTCTCTGTCCAACCCAAGACTAGCTCCTCTCATGGGTATTGCACCCCCCCCAGGCCCTTCACAAGGCCTTTGGGATCCGTCATTAGAGGAAAAAAAAAAGTTAACTGACATTGTTCTCAAGCAAATGTCAGTTTAAAAGTTACTTGCCATATAAACATCCATCATATATATTAAAATGAAAGTCCACTGGGTAAAAATTTATGGGGTTCATTATCAAAGAAACAGAATAATTATAACAATGATAATAAAAGAAGGCTCTGGATTCCTACTACACACTGGCACTGGATTTCCACAAGTATTCTCTTAGTCATTTCTCACAATGTGTCGGGTAGACCCATATTATCCCCATTTCACAGATGAGCCAACTGAGGTCTGGTTCCCCAGTGACTATTGTCAGCCAGGATTCCTTTTCGCTTAAGGAGAATGCTGTCCCAGGAAGAGTTGAGGTCTCTGTCTTAGAGAGACTTCTGGTCTTACCACCCTCATCGACACTACCAATTCTCCAAACCATATAGAAGTAGACCATGGATACATTTTAGGATTAAGCTGTGACCTTCACTGAAGGTCTGGTTAGTACATGGCTCACAATAGTAGGAGGGCTTTGCTTTTTGGTTTTAACCCCTGCCAACTTTCAAACAGAGAGGTCATCTGACCCTCTGCTCTTATTATTCATTGGTGTGCTTTTTATGAAGTCTAGATCTTTTCTATTTCTTAAAATTCACTACAGAGTGGTTGCTCATGAATAAAACAAAAACAAAAACCAACCAACAAAACAACAACAACAAAAACACTGTCCTCAAGAAGCATAGATATCTAACAAGTAAAGGTGGCAAAAAAAAATGGAGGTTGGTAATTTTCTTCTTGGACCCTACAAGTAAATGATGGCCTCCTAGGTTTGTAGTTCATAGATCTCTGTACAGAATGGCTCATTTTTTTATGGCTTCACATCCCATTTCAATTTTTTCAGTTGGTCAGGATAAATACAATCCATTATCTGAAGAGTATATTCATGTGAATAATACATTACAACACTTAATGAAATACCACATGCTAAAATTAATTAAAAAGATACCTTTTAGCACAAAACCTAAGAAGTGGGGAAAGAGAGCACTTCTATATATTTTAGAGAGAAATTAGGGTTTTTTTCTTAAATATCACTCTGTGATACCTATATTGACTCTCAAGATGTTTGTTTTACGCATTCAAATTAATAGTATACAAGAAAATTCTATGTTTGTGAACAGTCAGTGCTCATGCCCAACGTCCAATGTGTCAGCATGCGGTAAGGGTCTTGGGACTAACCCAACCTCCTTTCTTTTTCTTGGGCTGGAGTTTCCTGGAACATGACCCGGAGGAAGCTGAGCCTTCCCTCTCTGCTTCCAAAGGTAACTTGATGATCTGCTTCTCATCCCAGCATCGAGTCACTCTTTAATCTTACCCACCTCTTCCTGTCTTACTCAGTACCATCTTCTCTGCAATCCCTTTGCATGGTAAACACATCCCCCTATATCCATAATACATTTTCTGAACAATCCTTCCAACTTCGCTTCTGTCCTAAAGCTTGGTTCTCACCTAAAATCAGCGTCCCTGGCTACCTACACACGTATGCATGTACTACACACCAAATAACACACATCCTCAATCGCTCAGCACCAAAATCCTAAAAAGATGAAGAACTATATAGACCAAGCATCCACATTATATGGTCTTGATACATAAAGATAGCATTTTCATTTTACGCTGGATTTAGAGTGTCCATTTATGGTCCACAACACATGCTTGGTGCAGAGTAGGCACTCACTGGGTATTTGCTGAATGAATGAATGATTGAATGAATGAATGAAATCCTTTCTGTTTACTACCCAAAGTTGAATACCTAAAGCTACATCAATAGGGATGAAAAAATGGACAGATAGGAAGCATGGGGAAGCTACTTAAAAAAGTGTTATGTGTGCAAAAAGACCAGCTTACCACATAAAGGCTTTCATGGAAATACAGCCCACATCATAAAAGTTTCCATCATGCCTCACTGGATGTGTTCTGGTCTTCAGCTGCTCCGTTTGCCTCCACTGCAAGGCACAGCCACCTGGTCGACCAAGCAAGGACACTCTGAGGAGGTAAGAGCCTTGGGGAGCCTTGTTCTTGAGGCCCCTTATGCATTTCATCTGTATTTGAAGATGCTGAGGCGCCTGACTCTGCTCAACCTAAAGACAAGACAGGTCTTTGAAATACACAGAAACTGGGTAAAACCACGCAATTAGCCACAATGCGCTTCTCGGGGGTGGGGGGGAAATAGACAATTATTTTCACTCAACCTGTAATTGTCAGGTATTAGCAAAGATAACAGAGGAGGACACATGATATATAATTAGGAGGTCAAAAGGCAAGGCTGCCAATTATGCCAGGGAAAGTTTAGCCAATTTTTAAGCATGGTATGTTAATGATCTGTGACATCAGAAACCATTCATCTATTATAATAAGATAGAATTAACAGGAAACCAACACTTTTTAAAACCACACATCATGCTTCTTCAAGGTATCTGGGATGGGTGAACATGGGCAGTGAGCTTCAAACTCAGAGTTTGAAAGGCAAAAGCCCTTACCTCTGACACTAATCACAGACCATATGACACTGTAGGAGAGGAAACATTTTTTCTCTACCCTTCATGGTCTTCGCTGGACTACAAATTAAATTTACATGAAACAGATTAACAGGAGAAAGAAGTCAAAGTTTTATTACTACCCAGGGAGGCCCAGTAATGAAAGGGAAACCTACAGAAATGACCAAGGCAAGCAGTTTTTCCACCTTTTAGGAAGAGACAATACACTTGTGAGAAATTGACAGGATAAAGAAAACAGGTGTTTGAGAGTTTTAATGAGGAAGGAATTCTAAGCAAAATTTGGGTGAGGTAGTAGATTAGTAAAAATAACAAGGTTTCTATAGCTTTCTCCTCTTAAAAGTTCCAATCTCTGGTGATAACAATGTCTTTTCACTTCTTAGTACAGGGAGGGTACCTTCCATATGGGAGACTGATTTCCTCTGTTCAGGGGGACAGGGGAGGTTCTGAGTGGTCTTGCACTGGCTGTTTCTCAAGCAGGTTCAATTCAAAATAATCACTGTGCCATTGTGGTACATTTTGGGCAGCCTGCCCTTGGCCCATAGACCACGTTGAGGAGGGAAGTACAAAGTAGGTCAGACTAATATCTCACCTGGTAGATAGTTTTATTCAGTTTCAACATGAGGTCCACTTGCCCCATCAGCTTCAAATGAGAATAAAAAAATAAAGGAAGGGGTAGCATTTGTATGCACTTTAACTTATAACTTAGCATAAATTGTATGTAGCAAGAACATGATTCAGGCATATTTTATGGGACATTTGAATTTCATTGCTTACCTTCAGCTGACAGAAATAGGCCATTTTCATTTTTAGTAAGTGCTGGAAAGTTTATGCAAACTGATAAGATTTTTAATGGACTTGTTTCAGATTAAACAAAAAACTGGGATTATTAATAACTCAAATGTCATTAAGTCATGTTTTCTATACTCACAAGTCGCAAATAGTCTTCAGAATAATTTGACCTCAAAGAATTCTCTATTACATTCTGCTTAAAGCAAAAAATAATGTCGTTTCTAGAAGCAGGTTCCTCTCTTGGCTACCAGAGTTAGTAGCACTACCCATTAATCTGCAGCCAACAGTAAGTACTTATTAATCCTGCCTTGACTTTATTTCGTGAGCGATAATATATATTTCCATATAGATAGTATGCTTCTGGAATCAAATCACAGTTAAACAAACAGCGAAAGTTGCTGAACTTCTTTTGTTTTTTCATATAAGTCATACTTAAAAGCTAATCAGAACAACAATTATTTTTGGTTTAATTAGAAAATCTTAATTAACAAAAAAGACTTAACCTTAATATTTTGGTTTCCAAAAATACTTGAAAAATTAACACCAAGTGAATAAATAAAACAATCTCTTTAAACCTCAAGGCAGGATTACTGATGCAGGCAGACTGAGTTATTAAACACATTCTAAATTAAATGCCTCTATGAATTTTATACTGAAATACATTGTGATAGTTTTGCATGCCAAATGTGACATTTTGTATTTTAGATTCATCTTCTGTAGTAATTTTGGAAATGTCATACAAACAAAGATTTTGTCATTTACCAATGGAATTACTATGCATGGCCGCTTAGCCATCTCTTTGCTGGCTCTTGTGGTTGTTTCAAGTCAGCAAGCCATAAAAAATCTTTATCTCTCTGAAACACAGCAATTTGGAAGATAATCGAATGGTGACTAGGGGGCAGAAATGCCAGTCTGAGGAATTATACCACAATCTCTCTTGCATTTACAACCTTCCTCAAAGCGAGTGTCAGATGAGGAGGGAAAGAAGACAGAAGATCCATCAAATCTCAAACCTTGTCACATTTGCATGATGGCAGCCCTGCCTCACTGTCTAGTGAGAACCCAGCCTGGCACCATGGACACCGTGGACATGAGGAATTCCAATGGCTTCACAACTGAGAATTTTAGCCATTCTATTTTAGCAAAGACTTCTCAAAAATGTTAACTGAGACCTGCTGAAATTCTGTTTCTCTAAAGGGTCCCACAGGAGGAAAAGCACAACAGGAAAGGGAGTCAATAACAACTGATCTCATCACTTGGCATTTTGCAGCAGAGAAAAAGTTCATCATGAGAGCCTCACCTTCCAGCAAGGTCCTGCTGCTCCCTTTGATTCATGAGTTACTTCTGGGAGGCTGCAGAGCTGGGCTGCACTGTCTTCTTTACAGACATTTAGGTCTGCAATTAATGGTTGACTTGGTGCTCTGCAGCAGTTACAAGAAGAGGGGAGATAAAAGGAACAGAAATCAACAGTGGGCATAATGAAAAGGTTTGCCTTTGGAAACACAACACAATTTGATGTTTTCCTTAAACATTATGTCAGATTAACTGAGAACTAGATAAATACCACATTGCCACCATTGATTAAAGTTGGGGAGATGAGTAGCTTTTGAAATGGGATCCTACAAAATACAAGACTCACAATATTCAGTACTGATCTCCCAACAATTAAAATGTGGCTTGTTTCAGAAATTACCAGAAGATTACATATTTGGTAAGACTTTTCGCCACTTCATTTTCACCCCCAGCCCCTTCCATCCTATAAATTGATAAAGAGACTCTGGAATGGGGAAATCATTTAAATAGATGAATAGCTGATATGACATAAACTTTTTCTTTTCTTTTTTTGATGCAATGGTCAGAGATCAAGATCTATTTCTACCCTCAAAATGTTCCCCAGGCTTTTTTTGTCTTCTATTAACGTTTACTGACTTTATTTGAGCTTCTTTTTTACTATTTATTTATTTATTTATTTTAAGCTTCACGCATCCTAACAACATTTGCCTACTTTCCCATATTCATTTGAATTAAGAAGGATCTTGTATTTCACTTCTTCTGACTTAAGCTTAATTCCATCAGTAGGGCCATCTGTGACAATGACCGTACCCCCACCAGAGGAATGGCCTTTTTGGATCTCACAGCTGATTTAGTTTCTTGTGATAGAAATGATTTCCCTTAATTTGGTTAGAGCTACATTGACACAAGTGTTCATTAGGACACCCATTTGCTGGCAATTCAATTTCAAATTAAATACACTTTGTTGTAAATTTTATTACTTTTAAACTACTGTATCTATTGTCTTTAATGGCCCTATTATACAGTTATGAAGGTAAACAGATTTCATTAGTAAACATCAAACATGTTATGTTAACCAGAGTGAAATGGTTTCCTCAGTTTCTTTCTTTGGTCTCTTGGTAAGCATTGTAAGGAACTCATGAAATATCCTAAAAACTTAATCTAAATAATCAGATGCTGAATTCATGATTATCGTGCTAAAGGGAAAAACAAAAGATCCTTAGTTGCAATCCCAGTTCTTTGTAATTAAAGGTTTTCTAAAAATAACTTCCTTAGTTAAAATGGAACATGCACATCAAAAGGTTAATACACAGCTTTAACATGATATTAGGTACCTAGAGTTAAGTCTAGAGATTTGTGTCCCCTTGGAACAGTCATACCCTGGACCAGGAGCCAGACCAGACCAGATATGAGCTCATTTTGAATTAGGTCCTATTACTACTCTTTTTTTTTTCACCTCATATACAGCACTTATTAATTTTGTGATTATATAAATATATGTTTATGTTTGCACATTATACAAAATTTGATTATATAAAAAGCCCCCCAAAAGTCATCCATTAGTCCACAACTCAGAGATAAACACTGATAAAATACTGAGGTCTATTCATCATAGCTAGGTAGCTAAATACATCTTTTTTTCTCCTTTCAAAATAAGGTCAATGATATAAATGTTATTTTGTCACCCATATAATGCACTTTGTACATTATAGGCATTTTCCATGAGATTAAGGTTTTTTTCTACAGCATAATCTCTTATTGTTGGGTATTTAGGTTAATTCCAAGTCTCACTATTATAAGTTAGCCTATAATTAAGTCTCTTGCATATAATGTCTTGTCTACCTCCCTGGCCATTTTCCTGGTCTGAAGTCCTAGCCCTAGAAGTACAGTGATCAGGGCTACTACACTGAGTGTTGACTGACACCTCAGCATTATATAATCCTGCCCTCGTGGCCTGTTCTCTGGGGCACTGAATACTCTTCACAGAGAGACAGGTCCCACTCCAGTTGATATCTTATTTTCTCTGCTAGTCAGATTAGAAATTAAGTAAAATGACAATGAATGAACAGCACTGATGTCTACAACAGGATTTCTCAACCTCTGCCCTATTGATATTTTGAACCACATAACCTTTGTTGTGGAGGTTGGCCTGGGCACTGTAGAATGTTTAGCAAGATCTCTGGCCGCTGGCCACTAGATGCCATTAACAGACCCTTTCCTAGTCCAAGTTGTGACAACAGAAAATGTCTCCAGACATTGCCAAATGTCCCCTGCGGCAAAATCGATCCCTGTTGAGCACCACTGATATATGTATGAACAGTTATTACTGAATGCTTAGCATGTTCAGGGCACCCTTTTAAATACGTTATATCTATTATTTCATTTAACCCTTATGATAATCCAACAAGGTATTCTTATTTCTGCTTCCCTGATGAACTGATGCTGGAGAATGTCAACTATCTTATTTGAGGGCCCAAGATTCAAAGTGAGACCATCCAACTTGAAAGTCCCTCTGAACCTACACCTACTACTTCTGCATCTCCTCTTCTGACACGGAGAAGAAGCAACTGCCACTCCCAGATCTTGGAAGTTCCTACCTCGGCTCAAGGATGTAAGTACTTCCTGAGAGTTAAATGAGACATGGCTCCCAGCTATACCACCATTCACTATAATGCCCCATCCCCAACAGCCGTATATGAATGAAAGGGCACAGACAAATTTCAAGAGGAAAGGAGGTCACAGTTTCCACAAACCTGATCCTTAGGGTGAATCAAACTAGGGGTGCCTGGTCCCTATAATTGACCCATATTTAATCGATAGCAAAACAAACAAAAGAAAAGAAAATGCCTTGAATCTACCATGAAGGAACATACTTCTTGAATGTTTTGTCAGTCTTTAAACAGGACATAGGAATGTACTGATTGAATCCTTCCCCTTCAAATTTCAAATCCTGCATCAAAGAAAAGAGAAATGAAATAAAATTGATTAAAAATACACTTGAAATGTTATATGCAAAAGTGGGCTTTTCTAAGACTTGGATGTGCTTACTCTGAATGTTAAGGCTCCAGGAGACAAATAAAAACATGGGAGTTATACCTTTAGCAGCCACCTTTTATGGAATATGACTTTCCTCACTCTGCTTAGTTACTTTTGACCAGGAAGGTGGAGAGGATAATAAAGAACATTAAAAAAGGAAGAAAAATGTTTGGTGGATGCAAGCCCAGTTTTCTTTATCTCTCTCTCTGTCTCTCTCTCTGTCCCATGTACACACACACACACACACACACACACACACATGCACACATACCACATAATGGTATACTCATACCACACAATGGAACACTTAACAAAGTGTAAACAGACATATGGCTGAATGTGTAGGATGCTAGAGATGTTAATAATAATTATGATCGTAGAATTTATCATCCAACCCAGGACATTTTGGTAGGCAAAGAGGAAACAATTATTCTAGGACAACAGGCATAACCCAGGACTACCCCATGCCCAACATAATGTATAGCAACCCTATTAATAATACTCATCCAGATGTTCTGAAAGGATATCATAGACAAATACCAACACATTTTGAGAAGATGAGTGTTGAGGAAATGAAAGAGAGAGAACTCAAGGGAATGAAAGAAAGAAAGAGAGAGAGAACTCAAGGTGGAAGCTTCAGTCCTTTATAACCTAGCCTTGGAAAGGACACAGCAGCACTTCTGCTGTACGCTATGGGTCACACAGTTCAACCCTGGTACAGTGTAAGACGGAACTACAAAAATGTGCTAATAGGAGGCCAGGATCCTGACTCCATAGCAATCACGAAAGCCAAACAAGCAAATGTTGGCAGTTGCTTGATTAAGTCTCAAGGTTGGAATGATTCTCCATGGCTCTCAGCTTTGTCCTCTGGACACCTGGTTCCATTCCATGGATCTTCCTTGCTTTTTTCATGAAAGCTAGCCAATGTTTGCAGCTAAGTCGTTTCCTGCCGGTAGATTTGGGAGTCCAAAGACACCTTTATTTTGGTTTCTCTCTGTCTCTTTTAGTTCAAGCAGTTGATTTTTCTGCTTATCTAATTCCATTTACAACTCTGTGGGTCTTCTGTGAATCTTAGCAGAGTTCACTTCATTAGACAAAAACCAAACCCACAAATCTCTTCAAGAGAAGACCTTCCCTTCCACAGGCTTCCACTGAAAGATGCCATGTTATGTAGATAAATAAGGTTCTTAATACAGCTCTGCCAAGAGGACTTCTAAAATAAGTATGTGAGATCTAATAAAAAGTCTGATTCTACTAAGTAAATTTTTTTTTTAAGATTTTATTTATTTATTTATTTGACAGAGAGAGACACAGTGAGAGAGGGAACACAAGCAGGGGGAGTGGGAGAGGCAGAAGCAGGCTTCCCACCGAGCAGGGAGCCTGATGCAGGTCTCGATCCCAGGATCCTGGGACCATGACCTGAGCCGAAGGCAGATATTTAATGACTGAGCCACCCAGGCACCCCCACTAAGTAAATCTTCTTAAATTTATCACATACTGATTAGCATTGAGATTTCATAACAATGCTAATATACATTTATTGAGCACTGATACCCTACAAGGCATTGTATTATATTCAGTCTCTTATTCTATGGCTATCATTATGGTTTTGCTTTATACCAGACACAATGCTAGAAGCCAGGAATACAGTGGTATATAAAGATTTATATTATACCTGACATTATAAAGTCATCTTTCTAGTGAACACTATAAATAAAATAAACTTGAGAAATGAGTAAAACAATGTCAAGGATGGTAAGAACAATCCAAAGAACAGTCTAGAGAAGACTTTTAGGGGACAAGGTTGTGGGAGGAAGGTTAGGAAAGAGTGATTTTTTTTAAATGAGATCTAGTAAAAGAATAGTTTAGCCATGCAAAAAGTGAAAGAAATTAGGGGCGCCTGGGTGGCTCAGTTGGTTAAGCGACTGCCTTCGGCTCAGGTCATGATCCTGGAGTCCCAGGATCGAGTCCCGTATCGGACTCCCTGCTCGGCGGGGAGTCTGCTTCTCCCTCTGACCCTCCCCCTCTCATGCTCTCTCTCTCTCTCTCATTCTCTCTCTCAAATAAATAAATAAATAAATAAATAAAAGTGAAAGAAATTAATTGCTCCAGGTAGAAGGAACAGCATGTACAAAGGTCCTGAGGTAGGACATAGTTTTATATATTTAAAAAGAAGATCAGTGTGGTCTAAGTACAGCCTCAAAGGCTGTCCTATATATAACCAGTGATGAAATCTTAAAAATATTAAATGCATGTTTATTTATTCCTCTCTCCTATAAACCATGTTTCTCAGCAAAATTCAGCTACTATAATTCCAGACAATTGGAGAGGGGAAATGTCTTCTCAATGTGGAGGACCTTAAGAAGGAATCACAACTGGGGTGCCTGAGTGGCACTGTCAGTTGAGCCTCCGACTGTTGATGTCAGCTCAGATCGCCATCTCAGGGTCATGAGATCGAGCCCCAAGTCAGGCTCTGTGCTCAGCGCGCAGAGTCCATTTAAGATTCTCTTCCCTCTCCCTCTGCCCTGCCCCACCAAAATAAATAAATAAATCTTTAAAAAAAAAGTCACAACTAGAATGCATGAGGCAGTGGGGAACATTTCCCCTTTTGCTCCCAGTGGATTATGAACTGGAGAAGGAGGTAAAAATAAGAGAAGCAAGCAGCCAAATGTGCACACATGGTATCTTCCCCCCCACCCCAACCCTTCTTCTCCAAGGCAGAAATCCTACAGAAATTGCAGAAGAAATGTGAGACAGTTTGAGGAGAAATCAAAAGACAGAAGGGTCATGTCAGGCTTTCAATTAAAATTCGGAGAAGAGACATGTTCCATGGTACCTCATGTACCAACATGGCAGGTGTGATGTTAGTTAACCACATTAGAGTAAAATGGGTGCTTTGCTGTGGTTAATCACCAAGAAGGCCCAAGTTTAGGATCTATATCAGTGAGGGTCTCAGCAGAAACATAAGCATTCTCAAAATTAGATGACTGGAGGAAGAAGATTTATTTACAAATGTATTATTACAAGGCTGTGGATTTAGGAGCAGGCTGTTTCTACTGTTAGGCTTGAAGGGATGAGGAGACAGAGTAGTCACCAGACACTGGAAGGAGAGTTATATAAAGTCATCTACTCTCGAGTAGAATGGTAACCCTGGGTGGAGGGATGGAGGCAGCTTAATGCAGGGAGGGAAGAACTTTCACGTGACCTCTCTTCTCCCCTTCCTTACCATTAACAACACTCCCCATTTATGGAAAGCAACCAGAAGCCATAGGGAACAGGAGCCCTACGGATGTGCCCTCACAGTTTAGTCTTGTGTGACAGAGAATACTGTAGATTTAGCCTGGCAAGCTTACCAAGGAGCAAATGTGTATGTAGAAAAAGCTGTAGGGTGAACCACTTCACTAAACTAGGAAGTCTTGCTGATGAATTGAATGAGGAAGATAAGGGGAAATAAAAAACCAAAAATGAATTTCAAATTTCTGGTCTAAGTCAATTAGTGTTCTCTAGTGCCGTTTACTGGGATAGGAAAAATGGGATAGATAATACAAACACAGTTGTTGTGGGTTTTTTTTTTAAGATTTTATTTATTTATTTGAGAGAGTGAAAGACAGCACAAGCAGGGGGAGGGGCAGAGGAAGAAGCAGACTCCCCACCGAGCAGGGAGCCTGATGAGGGACTTGATCCGGGAATCCGGGATCATGACCTGAGCTGTAGGCAGATGCTTAACCGACTGAGCCACCCAGGAGCCCATAAACATGGTTTTGAGGGAAAATATCAGCTTCCAGGTTGGACGTGTTAAATCTGCAGTGTTTTTGTGATACCCGCATGGCAATGGTAAGTAGGAATGAGATACAGGAGTCTGACAGTAAGAGCAGAGGTCAGAGGTTCTGGCTGTCACCAGCAACATAATGGAATTTAGGTGATGGGAATGAACAAAGCCATCCTGAGACCCTTCTAGGCGCTTCTGTAGGCTTTGTCAATTGATGCTGATGCTCTGAGTGTCAGACCAATTTCGCAGATGGGTAAATTGAGGCTTAGAGTGCTTTAGGTACTTGCCCAAGGTTGCAGCACGTGGTGGAGACTGGAGCCAGCTCTCTGTGGTTCCAAAACTCAGCTCTTAATCCATGTAATTGGTCCTTCATGTAGTCACCTTGTCGTTTTAGAGGCTACATGCATAGGGTAACAGTTTTCTTCACTCACTTGACCCCATATAGTTTCTATTATTAGCCCTTAACTAACATCCTTGTAAAAACACCTAAGTCTTGGATCAATGGATATATATGGTCCTTTGGAAATGAATAGAATGGGCTAAACAGTAAAACTTTATTAAAACTTATGAAATTTTCCTTTGCACCAAATATTTTCCAAAAAAGATCAAACAGAGCAAGCCCAGTTTGCAAAGAGAATGAATGCCCTCATGGAGCCAACTATTTTCAAATCCTCTCAAGTACTCGAGAAGCATCAATTATTTATTAACAGTGAACTAATTAAAATTTATCACCTCATTAAGGAAGATTTTATCACAAACTTTATGATGTAACAATTATTTCATGCAGGTTTGGTCATATTTCTTCTTCCATATAAAAATATTCTTTTTTGTATAGAGTTTATTTCAAAATACTTGGCAACCCAGACTTTCCACCATATCCTATTCGTCTGAACAAGTGATGGCTTGTTATAATGGAGGATTACACAGAGAACGCTTTGGCAAAAATTATCAGTAAATATTGTTGCTAAACCAGAAATTAAGATAGTTATGTTCTGCGTATTCATCCAACATCTAAACAAAATTCAAAATATTCCTAATTAGCTATAGCTAAAAAATTTAAATATTGACTTTCCAAAAATATGTCTTCAGATTTTCCTAGTCCGAACCACCTTTTCTAACAAAAGTATGAAAAAATAACACAAGGA